GTGAAACCTGCGGGAATGACTAAAATAATGCGCAATACAAGCACTATTTAACCGGAGCGAATGAGACGTGTGTGTGAGAGAAGGGGTCGTCGGAGAGAAGAAAGCGAGAATGCGCGGCTGATGTTATTGCCTGTGCCGCTGGTAACAAAACGGATCGGCTCAGAATCGGAAAGTAATGAGACTGACCGGCCGGTCACCGATCCGATCCCTGGCCGATCGATCGGTGCATCTCTAATTTTAATTAGATAATCATTATTTCGTTACACAATATTTTTTATTTTATGATTTTATTTTATATTTTTAAATGCTGTTCTTTTGAACTTTCTATTTATCAAATAAACCTGAAAAAAAAGCATTCAACTGGAAAATTCTATATTTGCTCTGGCTTTTCAGGCCCCAGCGTACCTGCTACCACAGACAGTTGCGATGGCTTTGAAGCAACCAGAGGCCAGCTGGCAGGAGCCGGTGTAACATCGGTCCACGGCCCAGTTCAACAGATTCACCAGATCTGGGTTAAGTTCCAGCAGAAGAACCACCACCTCACAGCCCAGCTGATGCACCTGAGGAGAATCAGATCAGAGGATCACATATGTTATCCATTGATGTGAATGGTGATACAAAACCACCTTAGCTGGTGGAGAAACTAGGTCATTTTAATTAGATAATCATTTATAATGTTACACAATATTTTTATTTCAAATAATTGCTGTTCTTTTGAACATTCTATTCATCAAAGACATTTCAAAAATCTTACTGATCCCAAACTTTTGAACGGTAGTGTCTTGTTCTAACTCAACAAAATATTTCAGGGCACAAAGCCAGACTTTCACTTCAAGAATCAACATTTGCAGAACAATGAAAACATCGCTCATTCACAAGCTGAGAAAGGGAGAGTGAGCGAGACATCTAAGAAAAGTGGCTTGTCTTATGAAAAGCCCCTGAGCAAATTTGCACTGGGTCAAAAGGCACACTTTGAGAATCATTTTAAAGATGGTTGTGTTGGTTTAGTGCTATCAACACCAAAGGAGCGATTGAGGACCTATGTGGGTCATGTTGTTTCAGAGTGTTTGGCCACATACCCGCAGATCTTGACAGCCAAGGATGTTATCCAGCCACTTATAGAGGTAGCCATCAGGAGAGAGCCCTACGTTGTCGAACACGGGACCACAACAAAGGACAGACGACATGGCCTATGAAAGGAAGAAAAAACAACATTCTTTCATGCAAAACTTGGAATTTCCTGTTTTGAGGAAATCACATCCTATTGTGTTCAACAACAAAAAAAAATACTTCAAAGAAACAGAGAAGAGACTCATAGGACTCATTTCATGTTCTGGACATTTGTTTCTTTTAATGATGCCAGGGTCTTGAAATTACACACCTTTTACAAATGCTACAACATTGTATATGGTCGTCTTACAACACCCGCCTTTCCATTATGGGAAAGGGTTCACGGCAATACAAGAAGCTACATGTACACACACAAACAATATAGCTTTAGAGGCGGGTGTAATTTTTCCAGAAATCCGAACCTGAACAAACCCAACGTGAACTACGTTTACACATCGTCAATCTGCAGAGAGCCAACATTATGAGTACAGGGTTCCCACAGACAAACAGAGCACATATGTGCTGTCATCACAAATGGACTCATTCATCACTTAATGGACCCACTTTTGTCTCTTTGGCATGTGTGTCCACACTGAGGTCCTGCACTGTAAATGACTACAGCGCTTCCTGGGCTATAAGTAGACCTCTGGAGATAAAATTAGTGGAGTATATGTCTGTGGTCTAAATTAGCAACACAAGCAAAGCTTTAAATTAGAGCCAGGGTTAAACATCATCCCATTCCACTGCTTTCATATGTAGATTCTTCCAAAGAAATAAATATATATATATATATATATATATATATATGTAAAAATATGTATTTTATTATTTATTTAATATTTTCAATGTATTATTATTTGTTCTAATGTTCCTCTTTGAACTAATATTTTCTTTATGACATTTTGAATCATGCATACACTACTGTTTAAAGTTTGGTGTCAGTAAGAGTTTTTTAAATAAATTAATACTTTTATTCAGCAAGGATGCCTTTAATTAATTTAAATTGACAGTAAAGACTTTTCCGTAGTTACAAAAAAAACTCCTGAAGGATTGTGTGACAGTTATTTTAAATTGTAATATTATTTCACAATATTGTTACTGTATCTTTGATCAAATAAATAGTTTTTACTGCATTCCTGATTCAAATATATTAAAATAGAACATAGTTATTTTAATTCGCAAAACTATTTTTCAATATTAATGTTTTTACTGTTTTTTTTATCAAATACATGCAACTTTTGTGAAAGGCTCCAACCCCAACCTTTTGAACGGTAGTGTGTACTTATAAATAAAATGAATAATGATGAATAATATACATCTTTTTTATTTGGAATGAAAACCCATTAAAAATGTACTGTGTAATGGAAACTGCACAGTATGAATATATAAATTTATACATTATATAAATGTAGTCTTCACTACCTTAAGAGCACAATACTGGTATCGAGTGATCTGATGGTTCCGGTCACTATAGCGATCCAGGGGCGTGAACATGATACTGAAGGGTCCAGCCCATTGGCTAAAAAGGATGAAGAGATGGTGCCGAAGGCTTTGCTGAGGGAAGAGGAAACGTCGATGATGCACTATGATACAAATAAAACAAGGAGAGGAGAAGAGAGGTATTAGGTTTAAAAAAAATTTTTTACATTTTATCAATGCAAGTTGGGCTACAGGAACACCTTCATGAAAAAATATTTTGTGATAGTGCCTAAACAATTTGAATTCATTTAAAAACTTTTAGTTAAAAATTTTTTTATAGGAAAGAAAATGCAAAATTACTGGCCGTTGTGCGACTCATCATTTGCCCATGATTTGGCTCTTCATCTAATCTACTGCTATTTTGGGCAGTGTCTCCACTTGGGAGTCTAAATCAAGACTGACGTCAGGAGTCCTGTGACTGAATACACTGTAACCTGGCAATGAATCCCATTTCCTAAACAAAGAAAATGTGGAACGCTTCCCAGAGCAAAATATAACTGCATGACCATCAGTATGATGTCATTATTTAATGTGAGGAATAAATGTTTCAAATGGAAAGAACAATATTGTGACTATTTATGAATTAAATGTGTTGTGCACAAACAAGAATGTGTATTAAGAAAGAAAATGGGCTAAATTGTGATTTTGTGTTGACATTAATTGTATACTGAGTTTGTGAGATGTCTTTTGCTTCCTCTTCACCTGGGACACACTGTATGAGGTTGGCCACCATGGCGCTGAAGTGAGCTCGGATGTCTTTGAGAATCTCCATGTCTTTGTCATTCTCAGCTTCCAGAAGCATCCGGGTCAGGTCCACATACTCAAGAAAGAGAGCGCCCAGGGCCAGGGTATCACGTTCGAGCGCTCCATTAGTGCTGAGAGACAGAGACAGGGATCATTTCATGTTTTATAGCCTGCAAGTTCATAATGAGACGAAATGGAGGTGGCCAGAGAACAGAATCCATAATAATAACATCCTTCTCACCTGTCACTAATGACACCGGCATCCGCCAGCAGCTCAAAGATCCTGAGGAGCTGGAGTCTCAGCAGATCTCTTCTCTCTCGCCGTTTTTTATTCTAGAGGACATATTATGAAGCAAATTACTATAGACACTTGCAATATTTAAAATATATATTTGATTAATTTACAAATCTGGAAATCGCATTTTTAAAAATCCCTGACATTTTAGAGGTTTTCTATGTTTGTAGGAACCTTGTACTGTGAGACTTTTTTGCAGTTTTTTTTTAAGTGCAAGATAAGTCATGTATGCATTGCTTGAGCGAGCCATTTACAGTACAACAAGTTATGGCATATACCAGCTGATCTGACTGAAAAAATTTTTTATTAAAAAAGTATAACTGTATATATCTGACCTCAGGTCGTCTTTCCAAAGCTTCCTTCATCAAAGGATGCAGTTCCTCAACCAGCTCTCTGTACGAGACACAACAAATATGAAATCAATAAGGTGAAAGAAGAATCGATACTGTGTTGCCAGGGTTTATAGAGCAATAATTGCTCTATTCCCATAAATACTTTTTTATGATTCCAAGAACTGAAATGAGCAGACATAACTAATATAATATGACATCTGATCACTTCTTTGGAAGTTTGTTCAGATTTAGAGATGATGTCAAAATTATAATTATAACTAAAAGTAGAAGTCAAGTGAAAATGGCCCTCACGCAAAGTCTAAATATAATGTAGTGTTTGTGCATCGCCTTATCAAAGTCAAGGAATTCAAAAACCCTGACAAGAGCAAAACAGAGGTATGACAAGAATGTGAACATCAGGTGCTGCTCACATCTTATCTGAAAAAAAAAAAAACGTGCTGACTTACATAGCACATTAAAAACAATAATGTGTGATAATCAAAAATGAGTTGGTTGCATAATTTCATGGCACTATTAGAATGTAGCATCTTGTAGGAACTTGACCCATCTAAATGTCTACCAGTTACATCATTAGAGATCTTAAATGTTTATATATATGCTACATAGTACCTGAAAACGAGTGAGTTTGTGCGGCCAAATCCGAGCACCAAAGACTCTGTGATCTCAATGCTTTCTGAACGCATCAGAGGGACCAACTGCTTCAGAAGCCAGGCCACAGACGGAGTGCCCAGGATCTAATGAATAAGATGTTAATCAGTGATTCCATCAAGTCAATTAATGAATGGGGCGCATGACTGTAGACATGACTGGTGCGCCATGCATAAGAAGCCCCACCCACCTTGTTGTCGTAGCTGCTGTTGCTGTCTGTACTGGGAGTGATGATCTCAGGGGTGGAAGCTCGAAGATGACCCGGGCTCATGATGCTGGGTTTGGCCACGCCAAAACACAGAATCAGATAGTTTCTCCAGAGAGAAACATAAGTGTCCGCTGAACCAGCTGAGCTTGTCTTCTTGGCGTTCACTGGGTTGCTAAGAGATCACATTTCATATTGTGAAATGTTATTGCCGTTTAAAACTTCTATTTTCTATTTCAAGATATTTTAAAAAGTAATTTATTCTTGTGATGGCAAAGCTGAATTTTCAGCAGCCATTACTCCAGTTTTAAATGTCACATGTTACATCCTTCGGAAATCATTCTAAAATGTTAAACTGTGTTTAAAAAATATTTGTTATTATTATCAATGTTACAAACAGGTGCTGATTAATATTTTTGTGGAAAACATGATTTGGTTTTCAGGATCCAGAATAGAAATTTTGAAAGAACACCATTTAACTGAAACAGAAATATTTTGCAATATTATAAACGTCTTGACTCTCACTTTTGATCAATTTAATGCATCTTTTCTAAATAAAAGTATTCATTCTTTTTTTTTTTTTCTTCAACTTTTGATCGGTTGGGTATTATATCAATTTGACTTTAAGTTGAGTTAACATGTATTATGAATGTACTGTATATAAAAAGAAGAGTAACCCAAATAGGACTGCACAGAGTCTGCTATCAGAGGCAAAACCACTTAAACAAGAGCAGTAACATAATAAAAAGTGGCTACAGGAAGCCATTAAGAGCTTAAACTTAAAGATAGAGATAGAGTTCATGCTTTAAAAACTCCTACTGCACTTCACCTACTGAGGTTAAAGCCTGGTCAACTAGATTTAAATGCTTACATAACCTATTAGGCAGCCACAATAATTAAAGCTACAATGCAGAAACATTTACAAAACAAACTGTTTTATCCATCCCTCACCTGGGCTCGAGTAAAGGCATGAGGAGCTGCAGGCGGGTGAAGGCGTAGGGCCAGGCGTAGCTGAGCGCTGTGGGACAGTGCTTGGGCAGGTACTCCTGTCTCAGAAGGCTGAAGAGGCACAGAGCCCAGGGTTCCTTCAGAGACTGTGCCAAGATCCACACACGAGATGGGCTCCGCACGTCATAGTGGCTGCCGACCAGAGATCCGTTCCACTCCACCAGCCACTGCAGGTCCGCATGCTGCCCAGCGGGGAGAGACGCCTGCAGGGAAGTGGAAGGGAAGAGATCATAGTAGCCACATATGTAGAGAACTCAGCAGTGTAATGAAAGAAAATTGGTTTAATACCAAAATCTTGGGAGAATTTTGTAGAATGTGGTCATTATAGACAAAAACACAAAATTGATTTATGCTAAATTTAGCTCTTGAATCTGCCAATTTAGTATTGATATCCAGTATCTATGTGATTCTGAACTTATTTAAATCATTGTTTGTACAAGTCATCACCTAATACGCTAAACTCCAAGGTCAGAGAAGTAAAACAGACTTTCTTATAAACTCAGAACAGAAGACACTTTGTAGATGTTGAGCAAAACCGCAAAGGACTGAACAGAGAGGCACTCACCGAGTCAGCCACCGCCACGTGGGCAAAGCTCTCGAGCACCACTGGGCTCAGCTGGTCCAGTACATCTATCATGGGCCTTTCATCTTCCTGTGTAGAAAAAAAGACCATATTCAACCATAACTGAGAGGATGTATACTCAAAGGCCTATATCTGATCAAGTCAGGCTCTTACCTCAGTCTGCCCAATGGTGAGGAAGATTTGGCGGACCTCTCGAAGGATGGACACAGCTAGTTTGCGTGTGCCTGTCTGGCAGGAGCACAGTAGCACTAAAGCGAGACCCTCAACAGCATGCAAGACTGTGGAGTGAGGGGTCCGTTCAGCAGGCAGTCTGGAGCCAGAGCTACTCTGTAATAACTAAAATAAACAAACATATATTGTATATATTACATTATTATATAATATTATATTATATTATATTATACTTAGATTTAAGAGATCTTTTTGTGATTTTTTTGTTATTCCCTATGGGCAAAAAAAAACAAAAAAACACACACGTTGAAATAGTTGATATTAAAAGACACAGTGCAGCCCCAAAAAAACTAATTAATTGTAATGTGAAATTTTTACCAATCTTTGCCACTATCCTTCAAACCACTAGGTTTTACTCATTTGTTAGCAAGAAAAGTTTTTAATCATATAATATTTTAACAAATTTTTAACAGTTTTTAACAATACAATAAAATGTAGTATGATCACATATTCTTTCATATATTTTATAAAGTACAAGTCAATGTGTTACGCTGAATGACGAAGGAACATTATTTCACCCATATTTTGACATTTTATTTTCACAAAAGTTATTTGAAACATAAAAGTAGACACTTTACTTCCATACATGTTTTCTATGTATATAAAAGTATTATTTTAGTATCATGGATATTATTTCAGTATTATTTTAATTTTAAAGCTTTAGTAATTTTGTTGTGTTTTGTCATTTTTATTAGGTTTTTTTTTTTAAATATGTCTATATTGTTGAATTTTTATTTCAGTTGTATTTATTTTTGTACTTCAAGTTAAACTAAAAGAAAATGAGAAATGATGCCTTGACACCTAGCTGAAATAAAAACAATATCTTTTCTTTTATTTTAGTTTCATGTTTATTTTATTTAAAGTAGCAAACATTTGCTGTTGCTGTTGTTTAATGGTTTTAGTTCTAGTTTTAATTTTAGTAGCCTGATGTGTGTGTGTGTGTGTGTGTGTGTGTCCCTAAAATGTTCCCATATATATCAAAATAGTATCACGCACAATCCTCATAAATAATCAGCATACTTTCCAAGATCTTCCATTACAGAGCAGAAGTCCCTCCAGCTCCAATGGAGGAAGTTCACAGAGAGATCAACTTTACACTGAACTAGATCACTGACCTAATGGCTTGAACATGAAGAATTAAGTCTGATTAGACCAGCCCTGACTCAGATTGCACTGGGACATCCTATTCAAGCTGGGGGCTGGGAGGGATCACATTACTGAAGCTTTCGGGAAACCTGACCATTGGGCAATTCGTTGAAGCAAATGCTTCCTGCTTAAACGCCCATTCATCCATTGAACATATACACACACTCACCGAGCCAAAAGGTCTATGAGCTCTGACTTGGACATGCCATCGGGAAGGATGCGTGGAATGGCGGCCATGCATGTCCTAAAGAGGTCAATCTTAGGTTTCCTCTCGCCCCTGTCAGTATAAAGAGAAATCAAACAGAGCTAAGTGCACTGACAAGCTCAAGCTTCGTTGGATTTGGACTGATGCGTCAGACAGGTGTGTGTAGAGTATCAGATACACCAGATGAAAGATTATTTGACAGAGTGTTGTGTATGACATACGTAATCATATCCTCGGGTTCCTTATTCAGCATCTGTGCGTTACTCAGCATCATACAGCGGCCAACCTCCTTATCCAAGTGTCTGAGGATGTTGTCTAAAGCTTTCCGCACTTGGGGGTAATAGATGGACATTCCTGATGGTTGAAATAATGCAAAACTTTAAAAGACTGGCATGTTCTTCAATAGTAACAGAATTGAATGAGAAAATGTCAATCAATATGATCAAGAAGACAATTTCTTTTCTGTATATTTTTGGTCAAACCTTGTTGTGTTCCGGTCATTTTGATCCGAAGAGGATTTTCTTTTTTTCCACAAATGCTAGTTAATGTTATTGGATTGGACTAAAACTTACTGACTTTGCTCACACATAACTTCTCTTTTTGTTTTTTGATACTTTTTGGGGATTTTTTGGCACCTTGTTACACCTGGTGTTCCCAGTCAAAAATGATCAGTCTGCAAAAAATTGCTTATAAATTTCTTGTTATGCTATATAATTGTCAAATCTCGGATTCAATCTTTTTAACAACTTGTTTTCTTTTCTATTACCACAGATTTTGTATTCCTTTTTGGAACTGATTGATCGTAGGCCTTATCAGTCTGAGCTTATGCACCTCAGTTTTGCCACAATTATCCACAAATAAACAAAAAGTGTATGGATTTCATTGCATTAGACAACAAAATCTGCAGAAACGGCAAACGAAGTATCTTCATATTTGTTATATAATTTAAATTAAATGTTTGAAAAGTTTCCATGCTATCTTTCTTGCATTAATATTATTCACACATTATAAAAGTTTCAATTTTTTTTTTTGCAAAATGTTTTGCTTGAAAAGTGTGCTAAATGAATGCCTGTGCTGTTCATTTAACAAAAAAAAAATCATAAACAGCCTTTTTTTTATATAGAAATTATTCCTCTAGAAGTACAACAGATGAACTCACCTATGACTTTGGCCTCATCGTCAGTCAGAGGCTTGCTCAGGAATGTCTTTTTGACTCGTAGTGTGTTTCCAGAAGGGAGCGTGGCCCCTGTGTTCGGCATGGGGGGATCACCATCTTTCTGCTGCAGCTTGTCAGCAATGACCAGGAATGCTCTGAGACCTATATTCATTCTCTACAAAACAAGAAATCAAGATATGAGTGCCATTACATTATAAAGCTTCTACATCTATTGTAATTTGACAATACTTTACCTCTGGATTAAGACTAAAGGCTTTTGCAGGTTTCCCAACACACAGTAGGTCAAAAATGACTTCTTTCATTGCAAAGTCAAGTCTTTCCTGTAAGATAAAAGAAGAATGAGGAAATGCTACTCACATCTGCAACGATGCAGTATGCGAAATGTAAATATTTGAACACATGCTGCATCAGGAACACTAAATATGTGTAGTCTTGCAAATTTGGATGGGAATCTAGCTGTCATTTGCGCATTTGTTTCGGCAACAACACTAAATCCTTTGTCCTTAGACACATGCTCTGTTTTCACAACAAACGAGAATTAGGTCTTGTATAATGGTTTAACAGCTAACAACAGATTAGCATTTAGGTCTTAGTTGTAGACCTGTCTGTCATTTAATCGCAGACTTACCTGTGCAATAAACTGGATAATCTTAACAAATATATTGAGAGGCATGTCTTTAGGAACTACGCTGCGGGATCCTTTAGGGAACAGGTTCGTCACAATCGAGTTGAGGCGGCTGTGGGGATGAGATCAAGTTTAGAATCAGGCACTGACATACACTAAAAGAAGGTCAAAGCATAGTGACACAGATAGCTTGCTATAATTAGCATTCCATTACAGTGGCAGACCTGAGCCACGGCCTATTTGTGAATTATTTTTTTTTAGCGAGGTTTGTCCTCTTTGGCTTATTCATAGTGGTTGTAAACTCCTAAATCACAGCTTGGTATGTGGCATGCAAATCTAAGGTTTCTGATATTTATGACCTGCTATAATGCAATACATCTCTCTAAATACATCTGAAGAACAGCGAACTGGCCCAACACCAGTTCTTCTGCCTAATTTGAGCATTTTATGATCCTTGTGATTCCAGAACTAACCTCCCATCCCATGCTTTAGATATTTAAAATGCCTTCTTAAATAAGTTTGGGATCTGTAAATTGTTTTAATGTTTTTGAAAGAAGTCTCTTATGTTCAAAAATGCTGCATTTACGAGATCAAAAATACAGTAAAACAGTAATATTGTGAAATATTTTTACACAATCCTTCAGAAATCATTATAATATGCTGATTTGGTGTTTAAGAAAAAATTCTTATTATTATCAATGTTGGAAACAGTTGTGCTGATTAATATTTTTGAGGAAACTTTGATATATTTTTTTCAGGATTCTTTGATGAATAGAAAGTAAAAAAAAAATGCATTTGATTCAAAAAGTAATTTTTGTAACATTGTAAAAGTATTTGTTGTCACTTTGATCTATTTAATTCATCCTTGCTGAATAAAATAAGAATAAAAATAAAAAAACACTGGACAAACTGAAGGTTTGTTTGGAATCAAATACTACATTTTTACTACATACTAAATTTGTATTTTTATTTTTTTATTTATTTGAACAATCTGCCAAAAGTTGAAATATATATGATAAAACAAAAACTGAATAAAAATGCCAAATACCATTTTATATTACTTTTTAGGTAGCATACTACTATTTGAAATCTGTTCTGTTGCATAAAGCATACCGTTTCATATATAGTACTTTATTTAGTATGTATGCAGTGTTCGGTTTATACTACTGTATGCTGTATACATACCCCATAGTTCAAAAACTATCACCACAACTTCCCCTTCTGGTGTTGAAATCCTATAAGGGCATGTACATCCTTTCCCAAACAACGTCAACCATATACTAATACATAAATCCCAATCGATCTATTATGGATTAGCTGCATAAGACATCTACAATTGTTCAATGTTCATTTCTTGACCTGAAGATCAAACATGGGTGTGTATATGGTTTAATTTGCCAAGCTTTTGATTCCCAGTGGACGATCTTGGCGTTCCAACACCCATCACCCATGACCACCAGCCTCCCTTCTGGTTCTCTCCTTTCTCCACCCATTTCTGGCAGCACTGTCAGTAATTACCCCTCGGCCTGAGGCACGATGACTGTAATGTATTGCTTGTTTACTCGCTGCCAATGAGAAGGGCTGAGGGTTGCGGTCACACCCCGGGTTCATGGGTGGGGTAGGGTAGGGTACAGAATTGTTTTATTTATTTATTTTTTTCAGCCCTGTAGAACTCCACCAAGAAAGCTGGCATTCATGAGATGGACCGTATTATGCAAAATCAGTTTACTGCGACCATACCCACGGCTTGTCTCTGGGGGTCTCAGGTGGGCGCTTTAGTAGTGGCTTTAAATCCATGGTTCAATACAAGTAGCAGCAGACCACGGATGTGCTTACCCCTGTGTCGCAGTGTTGCTCTCGCATTTGATGCGAATCATGTAGACCCACAGCAGTCGGTAGAGGGACTCTAGTGCTACCCGTGCCATTTTAGGGTCCTTGCTCTGTAATGATGAAGAGTGTATGTCGTGAGAAATCCAGTTTGTGCTTTTGAGTTAAATTAATAAATAAAGAGCAAATATAAAAACTACATACCTTCAGATTGGAGAGGCAGTTGTTGAGAAAGACATGCCATCTGTTGAGGAAGAACTGCTTTTGGCTGACACACAGTAGACATGTCACTAGTGGGTACAGAGCCTAAAAAAAAACAGAGAGAAGGGTACATGATGTTCAAAGTGCACTCAAACAGTACGAAACACTATTATCTTATGAAAACCAGACTGACCAGAGAATGTTTCTTTCTTGTTGAAAGGTCCAAGGTGGTATCATACAAGCTCTCCACAAAGTTCCTTAAACAAGGAACATTCACCTCATTCTTAACAGCCTATTAAAGAACGGAAAGACAATAATAATGAGGATCAAAATGCTTTTACACATTTCTACAAAAATAAGGATTGAAAAGAGTGACATATGGCTATATATGTTATTAAAACAATTACTGGACCAACAGGTCATATAAGATGATGTGCGAGTGGTTTGTAATGTTCAAAATACATGTAAATAACATCCAATTTGCAGAGTGTTGACAGATCTTTATAACATTTCTCTAACCGCTGCTACAGGAACTAGAATTTCCACAAAGAGTCCAGCCAAAGCATGCTTGATGTCTTTGTCCTTCACTTCCAGGAAATACTGCGCACATTCCTGTAACAGAAAGGAGCAAAGCATTGAGAAAAACGGTTAGCTTTCACGTTCTTGAGAGCTAATATCATTGAGCTTATCGCTATAGCCTTATCTAAGTCTCTATATTCAATATAAATTAATAAAAATAAATATAACAAATAAAATATGAAACAAACAAAAAAAATATTAATTAATAAAAAGTATACAGTAGCAGTGTTGTGCTTTGTGAAAGGAAGCTTATCCAAACGTCTTTATATTCTACATTTACCTGCATGAACTGAAAGGAGGCTTCAAACTCCTCTACAGGATACATTTTCACCCGGAAGAACTTCACGCCCATGATGAGGCTGATGGTGCTTTGGACCACGTATGGGCTCTGCTCCTTTTGACGGAGCTCCTTCAGCTCACTCATGAACCTCTTTTTAACAGCAGGAAATCTATAAAAAGAAATGATGATTGACAGATAAATCATTGGCTTGAGGGCAAGCTTTATTCTTAACAAGCAATTACAAAGAGAAATCGAGTCGATTATATGTTAGCTATAATGTAAGGTAGGAAAAAAATCTTTAGACCATTTAAGATTTTACTAATTTCTATGACTTTTTTTTTTGTAAGTTTTACAATGTAAAATTTCCTGATATTTTCATGTTTTCCATGATTGTGGAAACCCTGTCTACTGTAAAATAAAATAAAATAAAATAAAAGAAGATCTAGAAACTCAAAAAGGCTGATTTCCAGACCTAGCATGTTTTCATAGCATGTTTCAAAAAACACAGCTCCACATTTCTAAATAAAAATAACTTTGTCATTGTTAGATTTATGAGTACATACTTTGCTTGTGCTAAGACTCCAATTACTTCTGCATAGAGATCAGCTACAATATGCATGTTGGCAGTGTTGGGACCATGATACCTGGTCATAATAAAACACATGTAAATGTAATTGAATAAAGATGTATGAATTTATGTGCATTTATACATCTTACTAAATGCATCTGATAGAGAATTCTATTCTAATGAGGAAAAAGTATCTTACCCCTCTTTATATTTAAAGTGCTTAAAAGCCAAATTAATGACTTCATGGACCAAACCATCCACAACTGGGTGGAGGGGCATCTGGCCAAAAACACAAACAGTATCACATTTTATAACATGGCTCTCTGGAATATTTGGTTTTGATTGGCCAATTATGGCTTTCTGTGATCTCAAACACTGTTGTATAATAACCACAAAATTGTACATCAACAATCTCTTGTAAACCTTAATCTATGGCTACATTTGCCATTTTGTTGCCCAAGGAAACACAATTTGCTATAAAATTTGAAGCAGCAGTAACCACCATAGATTCTTGGTGATAATCCATAGATAAACATTTAGTTCTCCTCATTCTCGGATATTTGGTTACATCTTTAATGTCTGGTAGATATATTTGCATCTAAACTTATTTAGATCCAAATCACAGTGTGTTTTACCTGTTTGAGAACCTCTATGAGCACGAGAGAGAAGATGAAGTCGATGGCTAGGTCTCTCCTCTCCAGCAGATAATCTTTCTGCTGCTCATCACTGGGAAAAAGAGACAGCGAATGTAAACAGATTATGTAAGCCAATTTTGTTCCCACCCTCTCACACATTCACAGACTAAAATATCATTTCTCAATGATGAAATGGAGTTTTGCACTCCAGCTACAGGAAGCAGAAGTCACAGAAGCATCACTCAACACCCAGTTGGCTATCTGATGTCACTGGGCCATTCTGGCCCTATTGTGTCAAATCATCCCGTTAAGATAGAAGTTATCAGGCCAAGTGTGCATTGCAAAAATATTAATAAAAATATTACATATATGGCTTAAAAGCTAATAGACCTTAGCAAAACCCACACAACTCCAATTTGGAATTCATGGGTCTTTAATATGCATGAGGCAGATTTGCATTAATTAACTCTACTATGCATAATTAACTAAATCATACTGTTTTAAGCTTAAATGATCAGCCTTATCTAAGAGATATAAACAGGACTCACTTTTTGGGCTTTGTATTTGAACGTGGTCTGTACTCATGGGATTCATCGTCAACTCCATTCTGTCTTTTGTACCAGTCAAACAGGGTGCGCAAGATAGATGGCAGGCAATACTCAGCCAGAGAACTCATTGTGCTGATCAACTGAAAAAAGGAGAACATGTATTAATATCCATATAAACAAACTAAAAATACACCTAGTGCATAGTACTTGTATGTATGCCATGTATTTCATGGTGCATATTCAGGAGAAAGTTATTCTGAGTGTGGAGGTGGTCTTGGTGAAAGCAGGGACATTGTGCGAGCATGTGTCTTAAATGTGTATCCAAGATGCAAAGAAAGTGAGAAAAGAGGAGGGAGTTGGTTAATGAGAGCAGGAAGGAAAGGCGGTCCCTGGTGAGGACTCGACACACAGGAAAGGGAGGGAGAAAGGGTGGTGTTCAGGGGCTGAGGGTGAACACAGCGAGCCCTTCATTCCCTGATGAACCCTGGGAGAAGAATCCCCTCTCAGTGAGGCTGCTGAAAAGCCCAAGGGATCATGGGTACAAACGCAGCCCTGTGAGTTCTGAATGAGGCTGCTATTCACCTGCCTTCAACACACACACGCACACACACACACATATACGTGCATACAGAAACGAACTTGCAAACTCAGGGCAGGGAACACACAAGCCAGCAATAAAAAAAGACCTTTCATTCTGGGTTTTCAATACATTTACTCAATTTAAATTAAAATTAAATTTTGTACATTTATTAATTTTGCAGATACTATTGTCATTCGTTTTTACACATTAGTTAATTGTAATAATAAAGTTTAGGAATAATAATCAAATAACAAAGAAAAAAATAAGGATTTTGTCCCCCCGCTTGTTTAGTCTGGCTTTTGGTTTAGATTTTTTACTTGCCCTGACTGGATGCAAACTTAAAATTGTACTTTTTATGAATTGAAAATAAAAATTCCATATTTACATTTATCATTTTAAAAAATCTAATTTTAAATATATGTATAATTTTATTTTTATTTATATTTTATATTTGTATTAATTTTATATCATATTTATGTTTGTACACTTTTTAATCAAATTGAAAAGAAACTTTGCAATAAAAATGGGACATTTAATACATTTATTCATTTTACAGATACTTTTCTCATTCATTTACAAATGAGTTAACTGTAAAAACAGAGCTTGAGAATTATAATCATATAACAAAGCTCAACAATAAAGATTTTTCCGCTTGCTCATTCTGGCCCCAACGCAAAATTATAATGAATTAATTTCAATTTTCTTTTATTTAATTCCATTTTTACATTTAGAATTTTACAAATTCAAATTTTGTCTCTCTCTCTTTCTCTTTCTCT